TATGATAAATAATAATTATTTTTATTCATGTCGGAAAGCAATCCAAAAGTAAAAATTATTTTTGTGGTGGTGAGTCAACAATTCAACCTTTTGAATTAAATATGCCAACTTTTAATATCATAATTAAATAAAAATAGAAAAATATAAAAAGCACAAAAACATTATGTAATGATACAAAATTTTGTAAATAAAATTTAGGCACCTATCTAATATTTTATATTAATCATATTAAAAAAACATGTGTGATAAATAATAATTGCTTTATTGGTGTTGGAAATAAAATATAAAATTTAAAACCAACCTAAAAATGTAATTGTTTTCTTGGTGACAAGTTAACAATTCAACCTTTTGGATGATATGTGTGAATCATTGATTTCATAATTAAACAATTAAAATTAAAAAAAGATAAAAATACAAAAAATAAAAACTCTATAGAAAAACATTTGGTCACATCTCTAATATTTCATATTAATCATATTAAAACTTAGATACGATAAACAATAATTGTTTTTAACTTTTTATTGATGATATAAATAAAATACAAAATTCAAAATTAATCAAAAAGTGAAATTGTTTTCCTATTTGATGGTAGATCAATACAGCATTTTCGGTCAAATGTATCAACTTCTGAAGTTATAATAGATAATAAAGCTTTATTTTAAAAAGATAAAAACACAAAAGTATACAAAAAATATATAAATTATGTAAATAACATACAGGTATATTTCTATATTGATGAACTATAATAAGTGTGACAAATAAGAATAATTTTATAGACATAAAAATATAAAAAAAAATTGTAGAAAAATATGGAATATACTATCATCGTTATAAAGTTTGTCACGTGCAAAGCACATACACAAATACTAGTCAATTGAAAGAACACATTTGACAATCAGAGCTTAACGATGCCAAAAACCCAGAATGAAAACCTAGTAATACTCAGAATAAAAACCCACATTACCTATCTTTTATCTTCTCAAGTGGCAAAGCCAAACTTTCCTTGCAATCGCTATATTTGAAATGTGAAAAATAAATAAATGCACAAATAACCTAAAAAGTTTCTAAAATAAAAAAAATTTAGGAACCAGGAAGTGCAAGAAATCCCAATATATTCTTGAAAACAATGTGAGTAGGTGGATGGAGTTGCCTGGTTTCAATTATTGTTGCTAGGATGGAAATTTGAAGTGAAAGGGATACTTTGTCTTTTTTGTTTTGAAAACTTAATAATTTAATAGGGACAAAAGAGACTTTTTTAATGACTCCATTGAATATAATTAAGACAAGGGAGGTATTAATCCATTTTAAATAGTGAGAGGAGGTTTCAGCATTCAGGAGAAATTTAAAGGGAGGTTTAAGTCTTTTACTGTAAAGTAAAAAAAAAAAAAAAAAATTAAAAACTTACCCCAAATGGCAATTTACTTGCCATTGTCGAGTTTGTGTAGCAACTGGCAAGGGAAATAATGATCTGATGAGCAAGTACTGGATGGTTGTTAAATAAAGAATGTCCAATCGTCATGTAACTTTTTATTAGTGGTTGGCACGCCAAAAATGAAAAACAGGTGGGGTTCTTGATTCATGTAAGAACTCAATTATTAACTTAACCGAGTGAATTGGATTCTTTAATATATAGACTAAACTAATTTAAATAATTATCAGAATAACTCAATTACAAGAGATCTCTTTAAAAGCAAAAATAAATAAGGGCCATCTTATATGTCTAACTATTTTATGTATAAGAAAAAGTTATTCTCTTTAATTTTCATATTAAAATAAAAATAAGAGGGTCATCTTAGATAGCGTATATGAATGCCAAATTGGCTTGAGAGCTGGCAAGGTTTATTTGGGCAGATACAGTTTTTACATTCTGAATCTACTACAAACAAATTAAATATGTATACATTCACCAAAAATGTCCAACCTGTTATAACATGATGTATTGCCAACTAGCTGATGTATATATATATATATATATATATATATATATATATATATATGCATTTTCGACATGTTGGAACTCAACCCCATGCATGCACCAGATTATATTCATCAGCTGTGTAAAAGTTACAAGATGAGCTCTTCTACGTAGCACCCCCTACGTAGACAAAATCAATGCTGCAACATTAAACCCATGGCAGGGTGGACATTATGCTTCGTTTGGGGAGAATGAAAATATTGTCCGTTCGTTATGGAGTTATATTTTGTAAGATTACATTTGTGATTTTGCGTATTATTTAAAAATAACTCCATTATTTGTAGTTGTTCATTGACAATTTTCTATTTCAAACCTCTATTTTGTTATCAAAGGTTTTTAGCTTGGAGGAGGGATGTACAGAAATTTAAGCGCGAGTACCTTTTGGCAATGCTTATAAAAATATATTTTCAATTGATATATAAACCTTAGATAATTTAGTTAATTACAATTACGGAAACAGGCAAAAAAGGCTTTCTATTAGAGTTGTTCACTGATTTCAGGTCGTAGTTAATTACAATTCCTGTGTACAAAAGTCATGATGAGGGGGAGAATTCAGATAGGAGCTCTTTGCATTTTGTGAGGATGTTGTTAACTTGACAAGGAGTTGAACTTTAAACTCTTTTATGCCATATGTACTTGCCTCTCTCACTTACGTTTTGAATATGTGTAAGAATAATTAATCATGGATGATATTGAATTGAATTGCTCCATTTTGATATTCATCCAAATTCATGGAGGGTTTGATTGGTCAAAGCCCTTTTGGTATTATGATTTTCCACTCTTACTAAGTTTTTACTAAATCCCATGCATTGCATGGGTTATTAACATGCTAGTAGCATAGAGTTCAAATCAGCCTCCCACAACGTCCCACAGCACATTCCCGCCGTGCATTGAGAATATCTCTTGATGATGACATTGTAAGGGTTATTATCATCGAGAGATATTCCCAATATACGGCAAGAATGTGCTGTGAGACGTTGTGAGGAGCAATCTTGTGGGGGGCTGATTTGGTCTCAGTAGTATAATAGGATGCTTGGGTTGCCTTAGGGGTCACCACCTAATAATCTAACCTGAAGTTAAGTCAAGTTAACACTTTCCAACCCTAATATCTTGACCTCATTGCCAACTCTTTAGGTTAGGTTCGGGCTAACCTGGCGCTTGCAGCCTAGAATCAACGACTTTTTGTAAGTAATTTGAGGGTGAAATTAACCAACCCATCCTATGTGGCTGTTTTAATTACAGGCTGAAAACATTGGTGCAACCTATTACATTTGTCCATGACTATGACTTGATGGTTGAGATGATCACTTGATATTAGGACTCATCAAATGGATAAGTTCTACCAAGAACTGAGAATGGATCCAACCTTGAATTGATGTCGAACTGACCCTATAGATTGGGTGGGTCCAGTTCAGGATTTTTGAAACAAACCTCACCCAAGTTGGTTCCAGGATTTAGGGGTTTACTTTATCCAAATTGGCACAAAGAACTGGCCTTGATGGATGTTCTTTTTCTTGGATTTTTGAGAGGAGGAAAAGTTGGTCAATAAGATTTTGGTTCCTAATGACAAAAAATCTAATGTTCTTTTTTCAGATTAATGTGGGAATTAAAAAAAATATATTTCCTAAATATCATTTACCCGAATAAGTAAAACGAGATATGATGTATATGTCCATATTAATTTATACTGCATAGACGTGGCAATTAAATTTATTTATTGCACTTGAAAAATATGAAAGTAATCTCATGACACCATCATTGCATGGTATATCATGGATGACCACTTTCCCATGCAAATGTTGATTACGTGCCACATCAACGCACCATGGATCATGAAATACATGGAACGGGATATGTTCTTAACACAGAGGCGCCTCACAGGCCACCGTGCATTAGAAACATCTCCTGTAAATAATAATTTATAAATACATATATGCGTGTGAAGCGCCCCATGTGAAGAGCAGATCCGGTCTCGAAATACATCTATATTCCAGCCCGTGCCCATATATAGTGTCTCTCTCTCTCTCTAGTCTCTCCGTATAAAAAATATCCAAATTAATTTTGCAACGGAAGCTTGATTACCATGATGTTCTGTTGCACAACAGCCCAGCCCAGCCCACCACCACCACCGTTTTTGGTCTCTAACATGTTCTCCCAATCCCAATCCAGGAGATGCACCGGCACATCTGTCACCCGGACCGAATCTACTAGGCACATGAAAATATTCCGATAAAAATATCAAAATAATCTTTTTTCAAAGATAAATTAGGAATGTTTTAAATGACAAGTGTCAAGGAAAATTTCTAAATACTCATTAAACGTGTGCTGCGCGCACCTGATCGGACTGGTATCACCCCACCACAAAATCACATGTTCGGATTCCAAAAAAACCCTACTTAACATCATCATCCCCAGGGAATCACACAAGGTATGGGTGATCATAATTTCGCCTGTAATATTTGCATATTGCCACATTTAAAAATAATAAAATTATGTTTTTGAACGACAAAGAAACTATGAAAGTAATTCGAATTTTTAAAAATTAGGTTCAAAAACTAAAAATAATTAATTACATCTATATATTAAAGATTAAAAAGTCTATTTATTTAACCGGATTCTTCATTGTACCTTTTTTTTAATAATATAAAATAAAATTTCGAATTATCTACAAAGTACTGAAGTAGGAATGTTTGGCACACGTGCCTAACCATGTCGGTGTCAGTCTCGGTGATAAGGTCAGTCCCCAGTAGCAGTAGGCCTAACGTGGCTTACGTGCACCAGCCGCTTACCATCTCTAAAGAAAAGAACGCCCTGGCTGGCCCCTGGATGTGGTAGTAGGCTAGCCCGTAGCCGCTACCGTTTTTTTCATTTCTATTTTTTTTGGGGTAAATTTCTTAAGCTAATTAATTAAATGTATTTTTATTGTTCGAAAATTGACTAACGCTAACGCTATAGACTAACTTTAAGATCCGTTAATATTCCATCAAAATTCATTCTAACGTCATATATATTTTTTAAAACCCAATTTAACCTTTCACCTCTCTCCCCTTCTTTTTCACCAAACTTGTATTTGGAATCGGAGAAGAATGTCCACCAACAACAGTTCTTCCTTGTCACGAAGCCTCTCTGTGTATGCTGCCATCCACCCCTCCGAGAACCCAACTTGTAAATTTGTCTCAGGCCATTGATGTAGAATCCCCACACCTGGAAACTCCTCGACAGAGATACCCCACACCCAAAAGCAAGTCAGCCATTACCGATGAAGAAAACCCACACCCGAAAAACTCCTCGACAGAGATTACTACCTGGTTCTGCCACTAATCCCTACCATCGCCTCGGCAGTGGCAACTAGAAAACCCCTGCAACCCATGTCAACCTTCGATTCCTACATGGCTTTGATGTGGTGGTGCTTCTGACGGCTCTGTTTTTCATGGGTTTCTTTTCCGTCTACATCCGCCACTTCGCGGGGGAGAACGCATTGGAAAAAAAATTCTCAGAGGAACCGAATTGTTCCTGTACCCCTCTTCTGTAGCAGGCTTCACTAGATCACCATTGAGCTCCTTGGACTCCTCTGTTCCTACAGATTGTACCGGGTTGTTCTTGGACTCCTCTTTTGTCGCAGGTTTTACCAGGTAATCAGTAGGTTCCTGTGTTCCTACAGATGGTAGCAAAATGTTCTTCGACTCCTCGATGTCTGCGAGTTTCCCAATGTCAATATGGGCTCCACCTCGAGAAGATGTTCTACCGAATCGCTCGTCGGCTCCTCTTCGATTGAAGATTTCACCTCAACATTCTTAACATTGTTTCCTCTTATGCCGCAAGACCCAGATCACGGACTAGAGATCTTAGACCTTGTGCATTAAATTAGTTGGTCTGGATCACTGGTTGTAAATGCACAAGAGAAGAATAGATCACCAGTTGTAAATGTAGCTGAAAAAACAACTTGTAAATTAGGGCAACCGGTGATCTGTTCCCAACTATTGTAAATGCACACTGTGAACAGATCACCGATTTAATGCACACTGTGATCTTGTCTGATTTGAAAGAGAAGAGAACAACCGGTAAATTAGGGCAACCAAATAAACACTGTGAGCCATCTTCCCAACTGTTGTAAATGCACAAGAGAAGAACCAACCTCCGGCCAGTTCAATATTTAACATTCATCGTGAAGTCTGATATCTCTCTTCTTCCTGGGCGACGGCGGCGGCACTGCCTTGTAACTCCACCCGCTGCTCTATAACTCTACCCAGCAGCGACAACATCTGAACTCTAAAAGGGTAGTTTAGTCATTTTGCATTGTTTTTTTATGGAGGTTAACGGTAAGAATAGAGTAAAAACAGTAAGGGTTGTATGAGTCAATTTTCAAACAATAAGGGTATAATTAGTCAATTAGCTAAATCATTTTTTATCTGTTTGAGAGTTGGAACTCAAAATTCATTTTCGCTTTCTGATTCCTGGTTTCTTCTATTTCGACATGGAGAATCCAGGCAGAGATGCAGTCAAAGCTTTTCCCGCGTCTTCGAATGTTTCTACCCTTAGCTGTATTGATCTTTCCAGTCCTGACATTCAGAATTCCGTTTCTTTGCTGAAGCAGGTACGTTATAACTCAATCTCTTCTTTTGTTTTCATCTCATATCTGTTTCTTTATTTTTTTTATTTTTTTGGTTTGACGCTTAAACGTTATGTTCTAAACTTTCTATGATTTCAATATTCCTGTTTGATTGAATTTCAATATTCTCTTTCTCTCTCTCTCGCCTTCAACTTAATGGGACCGATATTAGTTGGGGAACTTTGATGATTGTCTGTACGACTGTCCTTTTGAAATTCCCCCCAGGAAGTTTGCTGAGGCTGTCTTAATGTTGGATTAAAAAAATAAAAGAAACTAAAATATACGACTGGGCCAATACATCGAACCTGTAATTGAGAAGTTTGTGTATTCCGCCATGGTCTTATTTTTTCTGCTCTAATACTTTTATGTTCTATTTCGTAGTTCTTATTTGGCTTATTCTACGGTTTCTTGTTTGTTCTTCAGGCATGCCTGGACTCTGGATTTTTCTATATAATCAACCATGGAATCAGCCAGGAGTTTATGGATGAAGTTTTTGCACAGAGCAAAAGGCTTTTTCACCTACCATTGGAAGAGAAAATGAAACTTCTGAGAAATGAAAAACATCGAGGCTATAGTCCTGTTTTAGATGAGCTTTTGGATCCTGTTAATCAAATAAACGGTTGGTTTTAGAACTAATTGGTTTTACTTCTAACAAGCAATGTTTGCTACAAGCATGGCAGTAAACGATAAAGGGTTGGAAAACTTTAGGTTTTAATGGTTCAGGATTCTTGCTTGAGATATCAACTTCAAAGTAAAGCCTAGATTGCTACATAAAACCCATGGCTGATGCTTATGAGTGGCAAATACCTATGAACTAAAGCAAAGCGTGAGTTCATGTAAAGTACTTTTTAGTGAGAGAGGAGTTGGAGGACTAGTCTTTTCCATTTTCATGCTATACCGTATGCATGGTCCACTCGTCAAGTTGTCTAGGCAGTTTAGCGACTGAGTAACAATCTTAATATTCCTTCCATGTAGAACTAATTTTGATGGAAAGGTCGGTCAAAATGTTGGGTATTTTTCCTTTCTTTTCTTTTCTTTTTTGGCCTTTTTCCCCAAGAGGGAGAGGGGTGGAGGTGGAAGCCCTAGATGAATGTACAAACTCATTGTTGTGGTTAAGTGTGTTAACTATTTACCGAAGTTGAGCCATGGACTGAAGTCTGCATTTGATTTTTGCTAGCTGTCAAATGGTTCCTATTCTTGGCATTCTTACTTTACACCACCAAATAAATTTTTGTGTTTAATTGTCACAATTTACTTTTCCATTAAGGTTACATACTGTACTGTACTCTCGTTGCAGCGAACCTTTTTCATTGAACAAATGTATTGACCATTATGCTCTTGTTTGATTCCTAGGAGATTACAAAGAGGGATATTATATTGGAGTTGAAGTAGCTGAAGATGATCAAGAAACTGAAAAACCATTTTATGGGCCCAATATATGGCCTTCCACAGGTATTTCATTAACACAATTACTACTTTTTGAAACTATAAGTTTCTACACAACCTTAAGCTTTCATTTATAGCACTGAAATAACATATAAGAACCTATCTTCCAAATGTTTATTTCGTTAAATTAACCCATTTTGAAACTATTGGTGCTCTGAAGATTTATTACCTGGATGGAGGCAAATTATGGAGACATATCACCAAGAGGCACTGTAAGTTTATTTTTCCATTTGCATCCAAATATGTATAGGTCATAACATCTCTCTTACTTGTATTGTTTTTAATGCATAAGATTCTTCCTTTATGAAAATGATAACTTCTCCAGCCTCAGATCCATGATGTATTAGCTCATGTTAATTATGCATGCAAGGATGAGTTTCTTTTTTCTTTTTTTCATTTTACTTATGTCTGAGATATGGGATGGTCTTATGTTAAAAACATACAAATGGAAGTGAGTTTCAACCTAAGGCATGGTCTGGGTCTCCAAACTGCTATTCTTTGAAGATGGTCTGGATGTAAATCGAAGTGTATTGGAAAGACAAGCTTAGCATCTTGAACTTCCTTCTTCCTTGTAACTAAGAGGCTAAAATGGTCTATCAGCATAAAAAGTGCAGTCATTTTCAAGGAATTCCTCATTTAATTATTAAAGTCTACTAAATCAAGTGCACATATATTGTATATAAATAAAAAGTACATGAAAAAGAATCTTTTAGAACAATTTTATGCAGTAGACCTTAGAGGATATTAATTAAATAACTGTGGAATCAAGTAGGTTCCTCGAAATTTTATTAGATTGTAGGGGCTAATGCTAATAAAATGTTAATTATAGACCCACTACAATATTCAACTAACCTAAGCTTTTTCCCCACTGGATGGGGCTGTCTACATAAATCCTGTTCCACCATTCAAGATCCATGTCCATAAATACAATCTCTCTCCTTTATTTGTGCTAGGGAGTGGCAGTGTATGACAAGCTCAATATTGGCATAGTTAATTATGGCCCTACTATACACATGCATGCAATACCTTGTAACCCTCTTATTTAATTTTTGAACATTCTGAGTTTAGGTTTACTTTTTACTTTTATTGTCACTCTTGATTATGCTATCTTGGAAATACATGCTTCAGGAAATTTTAGCTAAGGATTACTAAGTGTCAATGCGCATGTATTAGGCCAGTTAATTTCACTTCATGATTTTCATCTATCATTTATCTGCATGCAGTAGGGTAGCAAAAGCTGTTGCAAGGATCATAGCTCTTGCACTTGATCTAGATGCTGAGTTCTTTGATAAACCAGAAATGCTTGGCAAGCCAATTGCAACTTTGCGCCTGTTACACTATGAAGGTGTAAGACAAATTACAGGTTGTATTCCATTATGGATCTGTTACCCTCTTGTGCTTGATATAAATGCTTTTATGATGGGTGTCTTGTTTTCTGTAGGTAGGGTTTCCAATCCTGCAAAGGGAATATATGGAGCTGGTGCACATTCTGATTATGGTTTGATCACCCTCCTGGCAACAGATGACACCCCAGGTCTTCAAGTATGCATAAATCTGTATAATCAAGCCATTTTTTCTTGTCGTTTGAGGTCATATGGCACCCATATTTTTAATAACTGGATTAAGATCTGTGATGTTTCTATTCCTTTGCAGATATGCAAGGATAAGGACACTAACCCTCAGATATGGGAAGATGTGGCACCACTAAAAGGGTGAGGCTTGTAAACTGTCTAACACAAAACAAACATTAAATCAAAGGATGATCTCCAATAATCCCAGGAGTGGTTTCTTGCTTGTGGCTTTAAAATTCCCTCTAGAAGGAACATTCCCTTTATCGTCTCCAATAATAATCTTCAGGTTGATTGATTTTGTTTTGTTATTTTTAACGTAGTACTCTTACATTTCTTTTTTGTTTATCTTGAACATTATTTCTGTCATTCAAGTCCATATTACACATTTTTTATCCTATATGAACTTGAATATGAGTTTTTCATTTTTCTAAAAAATTGTTTTTTTTTTGTTGGAATTAGCTGCTAATTTCAGTATGAGAAATCCTGGAGACTTTGGGAACTTTATCAGGATGCATGTACATGTTCCCTAGATTTCTCAATTTGAATGTAAACAGTGGGGACTTTGGCACTGTTTGAAGGCAGCACTTTTATGGAGTGTTTGGGGTGAGAGGAATTCTGGGATTTCTGAATACAAGTAATGAGGCAGGAAGCATTGTTATCTTTGTTTGATGTAGGTGGGAACATTGGACAAAGACAAGAGAGGAGTGCCATTTGATTCAATTCTTGGAGGGTGGTGTGTGGTGCTAGCCTCTCCTCAAATGTGAGTTATTTCTAAGTCATGTATAGTGCCTGAACTATTCTATTATATACTACGTGTATGTTATACTTTTTTAAAGTTTTACTGTTGAAATTTAAAAGATACAAAGTTTTTGAGACAATGAGAAGAGAAAAAGAAAGAAGAAAGCTTATCCAACTCCAACTTAGGCACTTGCTATTTGTTTGCAGTTCCAGCCTCTGTCTTGACAATCCTTGATTGATTGACATGTAACTTCCTTTGGGATGGGTCCAATGATGAAAGGAATATACACTTACTTTCTTGGACTGAAGTTTGCAAACTGAAGGAGCTTGGAGGTGTGTGTGTATAAGGAATCTTGGAATCTTTGACAAGGCCTTATTAGGCAGGTGGATATGGAGATATGGGACTGAAAGGGATGAATTGTGGAGGAATGTTGTCATACATAAGTATGGAGCGCAACAGCAGGGTCTTTGAAAATGAAGTCCATCCTATGGAAACAATTAGTTGGGCCTACTGTCACTAGAGATTTCAGCACTTTAAATACCAGCATCTTTATTCATACTGGGAGGGAATTATTTTTTTATAATAATTTTGAAATTGTGGATATGGGATAATACTGTATCTTCCATCTTTTTGTACAGACTTCACATTCTCATAAATGTTTTTCTGAGGGAGCCTCCCTCTCCCTCTCTCTCTCTCTCTCTCTCTCTAACTTATATTTAATAAAACAGCATCTCCACCCCTTTCCTTTTTCTCTTTTACTTTCTATCTTAAATTTTCAATTTTTATTATATAAAAATTATATCATTCTATTATTGCTAATGTGGTATGAAACTGCTCTACTAAATATTTATTAGGTTAGTTTTATTATTGAAGGTATTGAAATTAATTATTTAAAGTACTATTCTCTTTTAGAGAGAATGATTTGCCATGTTTTGAGAGGAAATTTAATTTTCTTAATAAAAAGAACTTCTATTTTTTGTCAATTAATATGCATGATGATTGGTATGTAAAACTAGGGAATTAAACTAAAATTTAATTTGTTATTTTATAAAATTCTTACCACCTAGCCTCTGGGCACTTGCCAAAACAACTAGGTGATTAGATACTCCACTGTTGCCTAGAATCATCTAGATGCCTTCATATATTGTTAAGCAACTCAGGTTCAGCTGGGATGGACAGATTCACAGAGGCTGGAGTGGTTGACCATTAAAGGAGATTGCCAAAAGGTTCCTCTTGAAATTGAAGACTGAAGGACCTATGTGCCTTATAGTTTTCAAATCAGGGATGCAATGGCTTTATCCTCCAGTCTGAACTGCTTGTTCAGTTAGATCCCCAGGTCTACTGAGTACTGACAGTGTAGCAGATAGTTAGCGAGAATGGGAGTCAACAAGAAAGCACTAGAATGGGGAATGCTGGGGCTAGGGAAAATCAGTAAAAGTCAGTACTTGATTGTACTACGTGGTCAGGGCATCCCATTGCACAAGGTTCCTTCCAGGTCTAAGGAGGGACAGATATATGCAGCCTTACCCCTGCACATACAGAGAGGCTGTTTCCAAGGTTTGTACTACATGGTTCCTGTGCATAATTGTGTTTTCATTGATTCCTGCTGTGTTCTCCATCCTTATAAGACAGCATTCTGTTTTCATTGGTTCCTGTGCATAAAATTTTACTTTTATTTCCTTCTCAGCACCTAGTACTATGCCTTTATTCTTCTCTGACATCCATCAAGTTTATTGTTGATAAAACCATCATATTTCTTTTTCACCTGGATTAGTGCTTCTATTCTGAGTTAAACCATTTTATCCTTTGAATTCTTCTCGTATCTTTTCTTTTTCACCTGGATTAAGGTTTATTAAAAAACTATTTTGATTGAAGTTTATTTCAAGTTGTCCAACCTGACAGTATAGAATGAGGTTTCCCCACTCATCTAATGCCTTCGCAGTTTCTGGACTCATCGATCATGTTATGGACACATGCATTGGCAGTAAATAATTGATGCCTCAGTTTTGTGTTAAAATTTCCAGAGAGTTTTTTGAATGATCAAGAGAAACAGTTGTAATTGGAAGCAACAAGTACAACTTTCCTAAACGTAAGCTATCAATTGCTGAACCATGTGATAGTTAAAATATGAGGATGGCTACAGGAGAATACAAGGGAAATGATATGATAGTAATTATAGTTTGTTTAAGTTAAAGATAATAATCTTCATAATTCTCAATTCAATGAAGTCTTGTTCCACCAAGTGAGTGTTCCTCATAAAACAGCTTTTTGAGGGAAAGGGGGTTGAAATTTTGTTTAAGCTTTGTATTTTTCTCAACCAAAATATGTACATGTGTATGTGGCTCATAATTTAACAATGGATATGACACTGAACAAAGTGGAATGGCTGGACAGGATTCATATAGCTGACCCTTATAGTTGGGACAAGGCTTATATATCAATATATGCATGTGTGTGTGTATGTATGTATGTGTATGTATATGCTTGTATGTAAAAAGAAGCAGAGCACAAATGATTGTCGAAGGAACATATTATTACTTGGAATCTTTTGGTATATGATTATAATGTTGTTACTATTATAACATCTGTTCATCTTCCAGAGCTTTTATTGTGAACCTTGGTGACATGTTAGAGCGTTGGAGCAATTGCGTTTTTAGGTATGCCCATCCATTGCTGGTTTCTTTTTCCTGATTTTGTCCCATTTGAGAATGAAGGACTATGCAATATTTATAAGATCACTGCAGCATACATTTCCTTAAGTTTCATTTGTCTGCATTAGGATTGGTTCTTTTTCTATAATCCACATGTATCTTAAAAATTTCAACAATATCTATAGCTATATATTGTGGCCTTATTGACTCCATATATTGTTATACTTGTCACAAGATCATCTTATGGTTTCTAATTACCCAGACCTGGTGTCCCCTATAAAAGTTGATCCCTGGTTATTCCATTCTCTTGCAAGGGCATCTGCTATTATATCAGATGAGCTGGGTGCCACTGCCCATCTGAACAAGCAGTTCAGATTGGATGCTAACAAGATATTAATAAAATAGCTTCTCTAATCACACTTACCAAAAAAAAAGTTTCTCTAATCACCTGTTGGAGTACCCAAGGACCCTCATTTTTCTTCTCCATCTAGCAGAAGACCACCGTGCAGTGAGGTCCCCTTCTACAATCAGATTTGACCGTCCCAGTGAATAAAATATTTTTTTAAGCCTTGAAGAAGTGCAATGTTCTCAGATCTTAGTGAATTTCCTTCCCCAAGAAGTTATAATAATATTAGCCATTGGTAATCTCTAACAAAACCACCAATACCTGAGGGTCCTGGGTTGCGTATGCTGCATACATCAAAGCTGAGTTTCTATCTTCCCCTCTCTGGTGCTAGTCCACTGGTAGTAATATGATTTTCTCTGCAGCTAAAGCTAGTCGCTGTGGACCATCCCCTTAATATATCATCATCAGATAAGCTTTTGAGCTCCTTGCTTGTCAACATGCAATGAGCTTTCATCACCATGATGTTCTCTATTATGGTGCCTTCATCTTTTGTCTTGTCATTCTTGTGTTTCTTTCACCCCAAAAACTCCAAGTAATGCATCTGTAGTGCAGGATGGAGGAATATTCTCCCATTTTATGTTCAGGGAGCATATTCAAGTGCTGAATAACTCCATCATATTACATGGGCAAGGCCAATTCAATCCAAAAATGAGAGAGAAATGGTTGCATACCTTTGATGAATAGGAATAGGAAAGGAATAGATGGTCAACCCTTTACACACAACTAAAGCAATGAATGCACTCATTAGGGGAAAGGTATCATGATTTCCTCTTTCTTTGAAGAATGTCTTACATGTTGATGATCTTGAGAGTTGTTTCCCAAACAAATGCTTTAATTTTTGGTGGAGTTAGTCCACTTTAACCTCATAGGTAGAGAAGGGTAGGGGACAATGAGGATATGTTAGGAGTCTTGAAAAAGATTTACAAAAAATGACCCAAAGAGTCCTGAGACGGTGAGACCACACCCAATTGTCTTGGTCATCAATTAGAAAGAGTACTTTGTTAGCAGATTTGGAGTGAAGTTATACTTACCGTCAAATCAAGTCCAGATAATTATAATAAAAGAACAATTCACCTGAAACAACTAGAAAGAACAAAAAAAGGAAAATGACCTAAGGAATTTCCCTATAATCTTGAAAACACGGCCACCTCTCGGTCCTCTCCTTTTACTTTCCCTACCAGCTCCCTTTATTGGTCATGGACCCATGGTAGGTTAACAGTTGGGTTAGTGGGACTTTGAAGGCAGGCCCAAACTGGAAATCATCCCATTACCAGAGTTTCCCTTTGATCCTTTGGAGTCTGCAGCTCCAGACCAGGTTATTCCTGGATGTTTAAAATACAAAATAGCATATTAGAGATGCCAGAAATATTAGCCATTTTTACTCAACAGTGTACATTATGCGACTTACGATTCAGTAAGAGGTTATGATACCTAGGTCCCTGTACCAGGGTTATGTATCATTTTTATCAATTATCATCATTAAATAGTATTTCACTGTGATGGTCGTGGTTGCAAATTAATTTTGATATATCAAAGTACTCTAATTCACAGTTCTGCTTCTCATTCATTTCCAGGTCTACGTTGCACAGAGTTTTGGTGAATGGTGGAGAGAGATATTCTGTAAGGCCTTTCATGAATTTTTAAATATTCTGTAGCTGTGAGAATCTATGAAGATAATTACTGATAAAAAAATACTCTATGAAGATAATAAGGAAGTCTTTTGGCACTGTTCCAAAAGTGCATCTTCCTGGGTGGGGTGGGGGATTAACATTTATTTCTCCCTCAACTTTTTTCCCTCGTCTACTGGTTTGATCTTTCTTTACTTAGGAAGATCTATGTGGGCAACCCCAAATAGTTTGGATATGGATTTTTGAGTTGTATTTATGAATTTTCTATTTGTCATTTTGTATTTTCATGGAGTTGAATTTATTTACTTTCTTATTTTCTTAATTAGATATCTCTTAACATGTTAATTAATTATTTTAGGAAGATATATCTGGGCAATCCCAAGTAGTTGGGGTTTAGATTTTTGAGTTGTATTTAGGAATTTTCTCTTCATAATTTTGTATTTTTGTTGAGTTGTAGCTACTTACTTTCTTATTTTCTATTAATTAGATATCTCTTAACATGTTGATTAATCATCTTTGTTCTTAACGCAGATTGCATTCTTTGTGGAACCTAGCCATGAGTGTCTTGTGGAGTGCTTGCCATCATGCAAATCAGAAACAAACCCACCCAAGTGAGTTTCTCAACTACATGAGCATCTGTACAAATTGAAAGTGAAACCCAGTATATAATTATTTTTCTTCTCTTCTTTGTTGGTGGGAGATATGGATAAACCATCGTGAGGATTCAGATAGAAAGCCCCACCCTAACACAAGTTGGTCCATTATCTATAATTCTCAGCTTATGGATTGTTACACATGTGAACAAGTGGGAAATGGTTGAGAAAGAAAATCCTAAGCAACTAAGAAGAATATTAGAATATTGATTAAGAAAAAAAAAAGAAGATTAAAATGTTGACTGAAAGTAGCATTGTTTTCTCTATATGCATTTTGTAGCTATTGCATGATCTCTTGCCTTTCTTGAGTCGGGTTTTCACTTTTTGGTTCTCTCGAGGCCTTAATTTTTTTTCTATTTTGGGGGCGAGAGGCCTCATTTTCTTTGGAATTCAAATGTTCTCTGAACATTTCCTTTCTCATCCTGCTTCTTCTACCAGGTTTCCCCCAGTAAAATGTGGTGTTTATCTGAGCCAGCGATACAAGGACACGCACGTTGACCTAAGCTCCTACCGAAGTCATCAGAACTAGTCGAAGAAAAGATCTGGAGGGGGTGATAACTGTCAATCTTAATGTAAAAAGAGTGATAAATTTGATAAAAGGAAGATTGTGCCATTTTCACGATCGTGGTTTTGTGTTGTTGGCAGAGTTTGGCTGACAACATGCTTTATAGAAGCTGAAACCTTTTGAGTTATGGTTTGGATCCACAGTGTTCTCATTTTTTTTACTGGCGTTTTCCTGCTTCGTGTAGCCTTATGAAACCTAAGCGAGTGATGATTGAATAGTATTGATCCCGTTTGGAAGGGCTTTCATGCAGCGGCTTCTGGCTTTACAATGTGGTCCTCATTCAGTAAGCAATGTTTTGGCGGAAATACCTGAGAGCCCAAAATGACTACTCGAAAGCCAAAATCATGGCTTTCCAAATAATGACCGACTGCCTACTTGATTTGATTTGGACTCTCTAGATTTTTCACCACCTTGGAAAGCCAAAAGCCACTGCAGTTTAGCCCCCAAAACATGACGCTCTCTCCAAAGCATCCCAACCGACGCTTCAGGGCCTGTTTGGTAGGGCTTAAGCTTTTGTTTAACTGTTTTGATTGAATTGCTACTGATAAGTTGCTTTGGTTGGGCAGCTTAGTCAAAGCTTAAAGTGTAGAAGCCATATTTGATAAAACCCCGTTCAGAAGCCAAATAAAGGAGTTTATTATGAAAATGCCCTTCTAATCTCATTTATCTAAGAAAACATAAGAATTCAAAAGCTACATAGTTTTAGGTTCATCAGTTCATGCTTCTCCCTCTTTTTCGCTCTAAGCGATGGGACAATCTGGATTCGAACGACAACATATTATATTTATTTATTTATCGTTTCTTTTCCATATCTTTGCATTATCAATCGCTGGAAAGTAGGGATTATCATATTGGCTCATTGGTGAAACGAATCGGATTTCATCTTACATTGAAGTGTGCTCCTCTAACCAAGTAATTTACCAGGCATCTCAGCAACCTGTTATCTTTCAACTGTGTAAAATCTATTGTCTTCTAGACTTGTACCGATATAGTGATATGTATGATGTGATGAGTTTGGCCAACACTTGGTCACCTGAACTTAGTCGGACACTGGGGAACTCTCGTTTGTTTTTCACCACAATACATTGGATCGGCAACATCTGGAACCAGAAATAACGGATTTATTATCATGTTCACCACATTCATGTCAGTCGGATCTAATTTCGGTCAATTATTTGCAATCTCTTAGGTTCCCCTGTTCATGCTTCTTGAGGCCCAGGTTTTCGTCGCAACGTGTTGATCGTATAGTTCCCCTGAATTTACATTCTTCATCAGGTTGATGGGTTCTCCACCTCTTAGTTCCAAATTGACCTGACCTCCATTATTGTTGTGACTGATTTTAAGTCATCGCCACCATCAGCCACTGCCACCACCATTGAGAACGCTGCAAGTTCTCAGGCGAGTTGATCAGGACCAAAAATCGCTTCTGGTCTTCCCTTTCAATTCATGCTCGCTAAACCTGCAACACATTTGGAGCTCCAGCAACGATTGAGATTATTACCTAACATGTTACTTTTGATTTCTCATATTTATATCACCATGCAAATAAGAAAAAATATAACCAGTCTTCAGTGCAGAAAGCGAAGAGAACACATCTACTCTGTTTCGTTGAGTCGCTTTGTCATTTAACCTTCCGAATTGGCTTTCGGGATTTTTACCAAACATAACTTTTAGGTACCCTGAGTCCATTTTCTTTAATTCACGTTATAGATTATTGTAAAGTTGTCAAAATGCCCATATTTTTTAAATTATTTAAATCATAAAATTAAAAAAAAAAAAAAAAAAAAAAACCAAAAGTTGGGTTCTATTAGGTCTGGGTGCCATTGTTGCTCACCGTGGAGAGAAGAAACTATTGCCACCGCGGGTAAAAGAAATCATTACCGCCGCTTGAGCAAAAATAATTATTTTAGGTTTGATGCAAAATAACTGGACTCAATAAAAATGGCTCAATCTCCTGCACCACTGTTGCTCATCATGGAGAGAAGAAACTATTGTTGCTGTGGGTAGAAGAAATTGGTGTTGCCGCCTGAGAAGAAATCCTCATTTGTCGCCGGTCCTCTTTTTTTTTGAAATAAACCAGAAATGCACTACACACAACGTGGGGTTGTGCGTCCCAAACTCCTAATGTTTGCGTTGATGGTCAAATCGTTTGAACTGTCACCCGGTCAGAATTTCAGTCCGATTCAGTCAAGACCCGCCAGGCGGTCAAAAACCGTTCGACCCGGCCGATTCCGTCATTGATTTGTTCAACCTAGTGACCTGGTTGCGGGTTGCATATTCAATGCAATACAAACTTTGGGATGTTATACCTTTGCACTCTGATGTTGTAATGAAGTGATTTTTTTTTTATTTTGAGTAACTTTTTGAGATATATGCATCCCAAGGCATTGTAGGCAGTTTGTCTCGTTATTTTTGCGAAAAAAAGCCATTTTTTGACCATAAATTGTAATTTTTAATATTTTTATAAATAAAAAAAAATAAAAACTGAATTAAAAAATATAGATTAAATATAAAATACATGTAACATATATATATATATATATATATATATATATATATATAAAGTCTGGAGAGATTTGCACTTCGAACAAGAATCCGTCGGAAAGTCAGTCATCTCGTCCATCTCCCGGTTGCAAACTTGCTTCACCTTCGGTATTGGAATCTAAATGAAAAAAAAAAAAAAAAAACTCTTTATTATCATTCCCTGTTGCAGTAATCAATCTTAGGCCGAAATACGACCAAGTAAACTCTATTATCATTCCCTACATTCCGTTTTTCTTTCTTTCTTCTTTCATTTTCATGTTTTCCCGATTTGATTCCCCTGCATTTTGCTATGGAGTAGCCGGGATCCGAGTGGGGGTAGTAAGCGGAACTGGTGATGAGGTTCCCATTGCACCAGTTCCGTCGAAACCTTTGACACTACCTAATCTTGATATCATTTTTTTCTCGGTTAGGATTGCCATACTGATATATTCTAGATTCCTTAGTTGCTCAAAGAATCAACCATTTTTTTGTCACTGTTTTCTTTTATCTATGAATCAGTTTCTTTCCCACTGAGGTTCCCATCAGTAGTTTGCTGTTCATTTTGTCTTGTTTTAGCTTTTCCTTCTATGAGGAGTAAGCTCCATTGAATGTGAGGATTGGTCAGTTTTGAAGCTTAGCCAAGGATCGTTTCTTTAGTCATAGCTGATCTACTTGTTTGTGATGTTCAAAACGGATGTATGATGTTGGCCTCATTGAATGCTGATCTGTTTTTGTATTTTTATTTTCCTGAGAATGAAACACCTCTGTTTTAGAGATTCATCCACTTTTGCTGTAGTTGAGGCTAAGAATGAAAAAAAAAGGGAGAAAGGGTTTATATATTAGATGGGCAAAATAGTCCAAAAATACATGAAAAGGGTAATTTTGGTATTATAAAATGTTTAACTGACACTAACTAGTGGACCCAAGTATCTATTTCTGAAAGTTTGGAATACCTGAGTGTTGTATTTAGTTTACCTAAAAGTGATACTGCCCCAAAAATACAGGGTACTTATCTATAATTTACCCTAACTTTACCCACCCCTCTAAGCCAAAGCCACTGCTGGAAAGCTCTCCCAAATGGGCACTCAGTCCCTCCCAAGTGGGCTGGGATATAATGGTGGCCTGCTGTGGACGGTGCTGGATCTTAGGGCTTGATCATGGGCAACTCTTCGTGGTCACTAAAGGAACACATCGACAAAGTTGCACGAGTCAGGTGCCTCATTTTCCTCGTCTGTTTTAAAGCAAAATCAGGAAAAAAAATAAATTGTCGTGTGGTGTATAGTACCAATGTCATCCATTGGTCTAATTATGTGGATTGATAATGATGCGCTTTAGTGTGACTAATACAAATTACAGCCCACATCTACTAAAATCGCCTTTTTCTTTGCTGGTAAGCCTGGAGTCATGGTTCATCGACAAGGATATCCCACTACATTCCAAACCAGAACTTAAGGGTAGGGAGTTTGGTAACCTCAAATGCGCCATCCACCAATTGTCTGGTGGAGATTGCTCTCGGTAATTTGGATCTCATCGTTTATCCATGCCCTCCCCATGCTCCAAAACCCAGAACCAAAAATCCCATCTACTATATTTATTTATTTATCACGCCAAGATGCTGATGCTATTGGTGGTGGGTCAAGTAATTAAATGCAACAAGGCCTATAACTGCTAGAAGGCTTAAGTTAGTCGGTCTACGTTTGTGTTGTCAACATCTCATAAACTATTGGGATGAAAGATCAATTGGCCCCTTAAAAGAAGAGTTGAGAAGACAGCTGTATTGTTGGGAAGTAATGCCCAAATTCTCTTGGGAGTTTTTGTGCGTTAATGCAAGGAAAAAAAAAAAAAGATGAAGTCCAGTCTCATTTCTCTGTAATGTTTCAGTCCTTGACATTAAACAATGAAAAGAATACAACATCCAACTGCAACTTGTAGCTCCTTCTACAAAAAGAAACAATTATCACTGAAAGATGCTTATTCATGGCTATCTATCTAATGTCATAATCACAGTACCTCTAAGCTACAAGCCTACAACCAACCTTAATGAAGTCAGACTATCAACAACATCATGACCTTTCCCCACTAATCCCCTCCCACTTTGCCCCCAAAAAATAAATAGATATGCTAAAGGAAGAAAAGTAAAGAAAAAAACAACTAATAAATTTTGTAACTGTGAAGCTACAAAATTTGCAGGGATGTTTGTATGACAATTCAGCGGTAGTTTCTGTAGACAGGGCTATACATGCAGCTTTCTGCATACTTAACCAGGTTGGCTGGACGAGGGAGACGGGTAGCCAAACCTACAACAGCAAATCGTCGTTTAAATAAATTAGTTACCATATCTAGACGGGGGCAAGTATTCTATGAGCTGATGTATTACAAGGTGACTTACCCAATTCATACGCTTTGGAAGCTACATTAGCAGCAATTTCAGCTGATATCTTCCTTATATTGCAGAACGGTGGGTAAATAAGCCCTTTATCAAAGTTGTCCTCTGTCACCTGTCCAGCCAAAGCTTCCGCTGTTCCAAGGGAAAAAAAAAAAAAAAAACACATGAAATATATAGTGAGTGATCATTGGAAATGTATATCCAGATGCAAAACAACGGAACCCGCTTTATGCACAGAACACATGCCAAAGGTAAGAAGTATATAATGGCAGTCAACTATTCTACACCCCATCTTTGGTGCCTTATCTTGCACAACCAGTCAAATAACAACATAACCTATCTGACCAAAACAACCAATAAATGCCAGACCATAGGTTTTGGTTGTCCTTAACCCCAATTATTTTTTTTTTTATGAATTTAACCCCAAAATCATGTTTATCTACGAGTTAATGAAATTAAGTGTTTTAAGTAGTTGCATCTTTTAGAGAGCTCCAACTTAATTTTTTGTTCTGTTTAACTTACAAGCTGCCAGAAGCATGTCATCATGTACACGAATTGCACCAGATATTACCAAACCAAGACCAAATCCAGGGAAAATGTAAGCATTGTTTGCCTGCAAAAAGGATATAGAAGACTATCATATCACCACTATCCCATAAATCTCTACCAAGGGAATGTTTCCACTGAAATAACAAAAGAATAAATCCTGAAGAGAAATGGGACCTGGCCAGGTACGAAAACTTTCCCATTGCATTCAACAGGGTCAAATGGACTCCCACTAGCAAAAATTGCCCGACCCTGCAAATCATTTTTTTAGGAGAGAGGAGGTATTAAGATTCAGATTTATTTGCCAATAGAATATTCAAATATCAGCTGCATGATATGAATCATATGATATAAATCTTGTATTAAGTAGTGTGGGATCAAGGGTATGTCATTCTGTCTGTTTTACCTTACTCCACGTGTAAGCTTGCTCAGCTGTACACTCGGATTGTGAAGTTGGGTTTGAGAGAGCAAAAATTACAGGTCTCTGCATTCCAATCATTTGTAATGTCAGCTTCTCGATTTCAATCTCATCTTACTTGTCTACGTGCATAAAACATGAACGAGAGAGAGAGAGAGAGAGAGAAAGAGAACCTCATTAAAGGAAGCCATAGCCTCAACCACCTCCTTTGTGAATGTCTTCCCTACTCCAGATGATCCAATCAATACAGTTGGCTTGATTGCCTATGAAACCAATGACAGATGTCAAAACAAGCCATTGGTCAACCTTTCATGTAGAATAAATACCAACCACCAGCACACCTCCACCACACACATGCATGTGCACACACACACACACACAGAGAGAGAGAGAGAGAGCAACCTTTACAGCATCTAATAGTGTCTTAAGAGGTTCATGCTCATGAGCCCAAGGCTTCTTGAAGTGTTGAAGTGACTCCATACGGGAGCTAACTATCAATCCCTGCACCAGAACTAATATGAATATTTCAATAGTCTAGAGGACAAGAGGAGATGAAAAGAGTTAGCCCGCTTCCTTGGCAAAGAAACAAAGTGCTCAATGTTTCTCTACCTTCGAGTCCACAAGCCAAATCTTCTTCCGTGTCTCTTCAATTGGAGCTTTTGTCTGCAAACAAGAATATACATTAGGATTGAAATCAAATCAGAGCAGGAAAATTCAAGTCGCAGGATAAATATGCTGTATGTGATAGTGTTCCTTGGAAAGTACGTACCTGTTTTGACATTTCAAGAGCTATGAGTTCTGCTATACCAGTCCCAGCCTACAATTGCCAGCAAAGAGAAGTGAGATACAAAAACAGCAAACGTACAGATATACATTTCTACACATTTACATATTTATCTAATCATGCATTTTTATATCTGTATGTTAAAAAGAATAATAATCTCATCCTAACCCCAATTTTGCAATAGAAATAGCTTCTCCACAGAAGATCATATGTGCTACAAACAAGGCATAGAGGCGGCAGATTTTTAGAGTTCTCAAGGACACATTTTCCAGAGCAAGAAGACTCCATATCCAGTAAAATGCATTAATATGTACAAATTCACTCATTATATATTCCTGTGTTTTTCTTTAACTTATTATGATTAATCCATTTATGATTATATCCTTCAGTTTCTCAATGTACGGAGAAAGGGACAAGATCGACAAGACCGGACAAAGACCCACCTCTCCAGCACCAAGGAACAAGAATGTGTGCTCAGCTAAGGTTCCACCAACTAATTTCAATGCTGCAACAACCCCTGCCAGTACCACAGAAGCTGTCCCCTGCAATAGAAGAAAGAAAAAAAATCAGAAATTTGTTTCCTTAGGAGGTGATATCCTATTCCTGATGAGAGGATCATCTGTCAGGTTACCTGAATGTCATCATTGAAGACAAGATGGGACGCTCTGTATTTTGCAAGCAGCTCAAAGGCATTGTGATTTGCAAAATCTTCAAACTGCGGTTAAGAAATTCAGTCATTAAGAAACTTCCAGTCAAGCTTTGGAAGATCAAAATTACTTAATTTGTCAATCCACTGAGAATGTGTAATGTGGCACCTGTATGAGGACCTTTTCTCCATAGTTCTGCTTAACAGCACACATGAATTCATGTAGAAGTTCAGAATATTCCTACAATGACAAAATATGAAACCATCTTTGTTAAAATGCTGCTTGTTGGCATGAATTAAGAATATCCTAGGTTTTTAAGTAGTGGAACCTGGCCAGTTGCCCTCTTTTGTCTGATTCCAATATAGAATTCATCCTTTAACAACTCCTCATTGTTTGTCCCAACATCAATAGTTACAGGCAAACACTGCAAATGATAATGGAAATCATTGTCAAGTTTAGAGAAAGAATACTATCATGACCAGTTTCCAGAATTCCAATTGATCTTGTTACAGTCAGTCATATAATCTTATTTTCAGTCAGCAGCATATATAAGTGACTTGCCAAAGAGATTGCCAAGTTCATTAAAACGTGACACCAATTCAATCAAATCAGGATTAGTCATACAACATGTAACCAAATCAAGGTCTGAAGTCTCATTCACTAATAAAGGTTATTGTTTCTGGGAGGCCAACCGATTTCTTTTTGACTCTACACTTGAGAAGTCAATCAACTGAAAAGAACAAGAAGCATTAATGATATGCATGCTTACCGAAGAAGGACGAACACCCCCAAGCGCTGTATATAAAGCAAGTTTTCCTACAGGAATTCCCATTCCCTGAGAACATTCAACACATTTATCATCAATTTAAGTAAAGAGCAATTACCATTCAAGATGCAAAGACTAAGATACTGACAAAAGCCTATAAATAAATGTAGAAGCTGAATTATGCATAGCCATGAATTGGAAGAGAACCACTCCAGACATATACCTGACAGCCAAGGTCCCCAAGCCCCAAAATCCGCTCACCATCAGTGACAACAATAACTTGGATTTTCTTCTCAGGCCAGTTCTTTAATACCTCAAGAATCTTTCCCCTGTTAACCCAAATACTTCTCAGTTCTACTTGAATAACACTGAAAGAAATTAATATCCAAGCAAGAACAGTGGAATAAAACTGAAAACAGAATCCAATAAAACATACTTCTCTTTCAGACTAATATAAAGACCCTGAGGACGCCTGAATATACTGCCATATTTTTGGCAAGCTTCACCAACAGTTGGGGTGTATACAACTGGGAGCAATTCCTCAACATTATCAATAAGGAGCTTGTAAAACAGCCTCTGATTCCTCTCCTGTAAACCAAGACAAAATAACCAAAACAACTACATTCAGTTCTCATTCCACAAATAAAATACAATGGCAATCCACAAATTGAATTGACTTGATCCAATCACCTGCAGATCCATCAAGGCCATGTATCTTTGCAGCGGAACCTGATACTGACGGAGATTGTGCATCAATTTCTTCTCCTAATATGCAGAATTGTGGAAAGGGAAGGTCAGCAAGCATGACTTGGTTCTGGTGAAACATCAAGAAAAGGGGTCTAAACTATCGGCAAGGGTCATTATACGTCACCTGAAGCTCTTGAGTAACTACTGCTGGGGGTAGAAGACCTCGCACGTAGTGGGCATCTCTCTCCTTGTCAGTGAAGGCAAGTCCCTTGTTGTGGTGTGGGTCCCTCAGAAGAGAATACCCACTGCACCAGAAAAAAAAAAAAAGACTATTTACTGCATAACATAGCAAATGGTTGCCATACTATGAATTACAACCTAGACAGGAGACAGGTAATGATTCCAGCAAGCAAAGGACCAAAATTGTCTTGTAAACCCAAAACATGTTCAGGAGAATGCTCTCAATATGACAATCTAACAAAGTACATACAACTCTATTGAAGATAAATAACTAATCTGCAGACAGGAAGCTCTGACTTTGGATTCTAAACTTATCGTGTATCCAGGAAAAGGAAATAGCATTCAAATGCTGAAACATAAAACACCCTTACTTAGGTTCTAAATTGGAGGATTCGTATAAATATGCTTACATTTTTTTTATTAGAGGGAAATAAAACTATGAACTTATTACAGAAATATGAAAGAATACTTTTTTTTTTTTGAAATTGTACCAAGACTGTAAATTTGTAATAACAGAAAAAAGTTCAATGGTCATATTAAATGGAATAAGAGTGACCCAAGATATCTTCAGGATGAAACCAATTGAATTGAAGGTTCATTGAATCTTAGAGCCAGAACATGAAATGAAATGCATCCACTGCAAAGAAGGCAATGACACCTGGAAGGATGTACAAATAAAAATTTTCCAGAGATATTCAACTTTATTAACCATTAAATTTAAAATTGTATTAAGTATTTCAAAAGAAAGGGCCAAGACCTATGTACATAGATTTACATAGTTAATGAGAATGAACCACGTATAATATATGTACCTATGTACTATTGTTCCCATTGACTGGCCACTAAAAATATATGCATGGTTAAAGTCAAATACAGCTTCCCTTACTAAACTAAGATAATGCATGACGATATTGATATTCTGATTAGAGAGCATCAAGGCAATGTTGAGATCTTTTAATTGCTTCTTTGACACAAAGCAACAGACGATATTGTGTGTGATTTGGGTACGTTTTAAATAATTTACCCATACAACAGCTTTCGAAGGCAAGGAAAACTCTTTTATCTTGTGTGCCAGATGCTCTAGTTTGGAAGAAAACTAACAGGGCTGCTAATTCTTGGCTTTGCTTTATGATACAGACAGTGGTCTACTGGTCTTGCACTCTTGCTTAAGTCAAGTTACCTACCATCCCTCCCCTTCTTGCGGAAGAGGATATCAAGGAATATACATATCCACTGCTGCCAATTTTTGTTTATAATAATATAATATATGTGATCCTGCCTAATCCCCACCTATCCGCCATAAGGAAAGAATGAAAAATTAACAATCTTGGACTGCAGAAATTTCAACAAAGCAGATCCACATAAGTAATTTAAAAAGCAGTACCCCAGAAAATAGAAATAGAGAAAAATCAGTGTTTTTCTAACAACTCTAAAAAAAATAAGATAAAATGAAGAATCCCTGCTTCACTTTGCTAGAAATAACAAATAGATCCTTTGGGATCTGAAAATTTTATGCTTAGACGCGTAAGTATAAAGAGAAAATATTTGGCCCAACGCAATAATCAATACAAACACTGCTGAAAATCGCAAGGATCTGACAAACGGGAATTTCCATGGAGATTCTGATGTCCCCATCACAATACGCCCAAAACTTAGAAAAATAAGACCAGAAAGGGGAAAACCATAATTTCCACAACCAAGAAGTTGCAATTACCAAAATAAGATTTACATGAATCATTTTCGGATCCGTATAAAGAAAGGCTCCAACTTGGAAATACTGAAACATAGACAGAAAGCACTAAGCCCATTTTTTAGTAACCATAGAACATATATTAATTAAGAAGAACGAAAAAATAAATGTAACAACAAAAAAAACAGCAGAAAACGAACACCAGAAAAAAACAAAAAAAAAAAAAAGCGTCATTTTTAGAAAGAATATATTAACCAAAAAAAAAGGCACTCAAATAGATTATCCATCACCAAAAGAGAAATAAAAAGGCGACAAAAGAATTAAAAGAGGAGGAAATAGATCGAGTGGTAACAAGAAAAAACAGGAAACTACATGAAAAAAGAAAAAGAAAAAGGCCCTCGTTAGAATCAGAAACCCAACAGTTTAAGACATCATTACTGCTGATCAATGAGGAGAAAGAAATAGAGAGACGGCGAGGAAATTTAACCACTATTAATCATCTGACCTAGCAACTGAAGTAGTCCAAGGGGTGACAGGCTGATCCTCCGTAGCGCGATCCTCACCGTAGACGTCTTCGACTCCGGCGCCAGGGTTAGGTTTGGGATCCATGTCCAGCGCCGAGGCACCTTCTCTTATCTCCTTCAGAGTGCTCTCCATTAAAGCCTTGAACTTCCTCTCTCCTCCCCGACCGTTAGAGTTGAGAGCCACCACAACTGGGGCTGAGACTTTTCTCTGCGAATGAGAGAAGCTAGAGATACCAGAAAAACTCGTGGAGTTGTTCTGCTAACAACCAAGAAACAAAGAACACCCAACACCTTCTTTTATACTCAAAGACAATAAATCTCAATTACTCTGTTTTCTCTAAATCCAGAAAAGATGAGATAAAAGATCTCTCCATTCAATGTGAAAAAAGAAAACAACAACAACCACACGAACAAATCAGTTCAATTTATTAAATCATGCCACAAGATCCCATTTTTCTTCTGAAACTTGTTTTAATCAGAATTTTAATTAATAAAAATTCAAGATTTTGGAAATGAACTGGATTTATAGATATTACCAGAAAACTGCCTGCCTTCAATGAAATCATTGCGAATAATGTAGAGATAGAGAGAGAGAGAGAGTGTGGGTGTGTGTATGTCCTTCGCTTTCTCTGTTGGCGACCGCAGGAAGAGAATGAGAAAGGAGGGGAGAGAGAGCCTTCCGCACAGCTAGTGTTCCCTTTTCTCTCTCTCTCCTACTCTGTGTTCCAACTTTCAAAGTTGCTTTTATATGGAGAAATGTCGCTACTGCCAAACTCGCAAAAAAAGTGAGTTAAATACTTTAAATGAGGCTTCTTTTTAAATCATTCTTTTAACCATCTCCTGTGGTCCCGGTCCTCTTGTTGGGTGGACCCGGACCCGTTATTCTTAAATTTTACGGCCTGGGCTTGGCCTTGTCCAGTTGTCCTTTGCAGTATTTGTCCGGTTTAAACCCATTTTCAGAATCTCGGGCCCAAAATTATCATGACGCCCAATACCCTGTTGTTTTGCACATATTTTTAATAGGTAGGCCGTATTTGCTATTATTGTGTTGCATATCCATGTCTATGCCATATATCGACTCCACATGGGCAATTAGACTTTATCAAAATTATGATTAGATCCAAATGTTTTTGTACTGATTTTTACCTTGGTTTATACGAAATTCATTTTTAGGCCCTATTCTTACTTGGATAAGTACGTTTAGCTCAACAAACGTTTTAGGCTCATATCGCTGAATTGTTATGGGACCCAACAAATGAACGTGAATATTGGGATCAAGTTAGTTAACTTGGCAGATTTACCTCCTCTAAATCCTGGAAAATGAACGAAATCTTAGGTTATGTTTGGTTGCAGTGCAAATTTATTTGCACTAGTACAAATACATAAAAATGCAAATTCTTATTTAATTTTTGTTTTAGATTTTACTTTATTCAACTTTATTATTAAGTCTGCTATCAAATAAAATAAGCTAAAATTTAAAACAAAAATAGGTAAGAATTTACACTTAAATCATTTACACTGTCATGATTTTGCATTAGTGCAAATTTATTTGCATTGCAATCAAACACACAGCATTAGATACGAGGGGTTTATAATTGTACGAGTATTTTTTCCTATGTGATAGCTTAATACTGCTTTGCTTTTATGTGTGTAATAAATAATGATAAACAAATGTCACATCGTATGTATGTGTATGTCAAGGCTTTTTTATTAAAAAAGAATTCAATGCTTATATTATATATGAGATGGAAAGGCAACGGCTGTACAATGCCACAACACCAAACATTGAATACATGTGATGTGGGGCAATTTTGAGGATGAGTAGGGTGCCTCTATTATGGCAGGCAGGCCCATGGAACTAACCATTATTTGTTGTGAATTATATATACAAACGGAAATGTGCATTACTGGGCTACACCTAACAAGGCAACTACATTGTTAAGGCCTGAATGAAGGTAGGTGTGCATGCTTATTAACACCATGGTAGGTATCTAGGTAAAAGTAACATACCTTGTATTAACCTACAACGTCTAGGTAGGGTTATTGCCCATCAGCACAAGCCATTAGACAAAATAACCCATCACACATTAATAGCTTTCTTATCTATTTCCTTCTCCTAATAACGTCTAGAGTTACATCAGTTGCTTTTACCTGGGTCCAGTGTCTCTGTAGTTAGGGATGTTAATGGACTGGTTTTGGGTAGAACTTCGTCCAAATCAAAATTTATTTGGATGGATTGGACGGATTGATATGACATATTGAATTTGGATGGATTGGACGGATCAATATGACATATTGTATTGGACCTGGTCCGTCCATAATAAATTTATATTGGATTGAGCCACTATCTGGTCTATTAATAGAAGATAAGAACATAGTTGTCAATGGACCAGATTTGAGTTGAAATCAATCTAAATGAACAGAAATTTGAACAGATTGAACAGTCTCTAGACTGGTCAAAAATATTCATTAGATTAGATTGAACCAGGTCCATTTGTAATGGACTCACATTGAACTAGACCGGATTAGACCAAATCCAATCCAATTGACACCCCTATCTGTAGTCACGTTGTGTGCTGGGATCCGTTCCGTCGTCAGCTGGAGTGATTGAATTCATGGGGAGTGGGGGTGGAGGCCCTTAAAAAGGGGCAATCAAAGGAAGCAGCTGGTCTCAGGAATTAGGGTTAGGTTTTGTTGAATTGAGCTCAAATCAATTTGCATTCGGACAACCTGATGTCTACTATTTGGACCAACCAACGACCACCCGCTGACCCGGTTGCTAACCAGGAGAAAATAAACCAGGACGAGGTGCAAATGGGGTTTGAACTCACTCTGGGCCCTCTGACCAGGAATTGTTTCCTTGTTGGTTCATCAGCTCAAGAAGAGTCGAAGTTATATAATTAAAAAACAAATGGAACTATCGCATAATAGCAATCAAATATGACCCGCCTAACTTTGGGAGAAAAACAAAGTAGAGTTTCCGATTTTTGTTCTTTAATATTTTGGATATACATTTGTAAGAAGAATGGTTGAAGACTTGCAAGTAGAATATCTTATAATAAAAGGTCAATAGTCAACACCTACCTTCTAGATTTCTAGTGTGTTGCTTACCGAATCAAAATGTAATTTAAAATGGGATTACAGTCAACCATGTTGAACGAGCATAATCAGAAGGCAACCAAACACCCCTTAGCCCAAGCCCTAATCAGTGCATGCAACTCCTTGTCTATTTCTGTACCTCATCGGGACGAATTTGAAATTTCCGACTTATCCTAAGGATACTTTCGGCATCTCAAAATGTCATTTCTGGTAATTCTAGCTGCAAAAAAGGGCAATTCTGGCTACAAAATAAGGCCGCCGACCATTGGCATTGAATTTCTGCTTATTGTTTACCAGAAATTTAGAATTTATGTTTATTTTTAATTTTCTATTTTCTCAATGAAAAAAGTTTAAAAAAAAAAATGCAAAGAGACGAGTAGTTATCCACGTGGCTAGAACTTTTAGTGGACGCCACGCCACGACGCGTCTTTGATCCAGAGTTACAGAACACGTTTGTTGCATGGAAGGAGAAGTTATCGAATGCATAGGCGAATAGGAATTCGGATGTAACTGTCCTCACAGCCCGTTACAGCTGTGCATTGAGCATATATCTCGATGAATGAAAATAATTAAGTATGAGATATTCTCAATACACGGCTGTAAAAGGCTGTGAGAACGGTGTGAAGACAATTTTATGAATATCAAATCAGGTAGCTGGATCCGATTGGACCCCACTTTGCGCTCTCGATCTATAATCAACAAAAAGCCACGCGTAGCAAGCAACCAGGCTCAGAATTCAGAAGGCTAGGAATGCGCTTTTATGGGCACGATTCACGAGGAATACCGTAGATCTCGTAAGAACCGCTGGATTAGCATCTTTGTCATCTTCTAAAGTTTTTTAATGGTGACAAACAGATCTCTCGAGTCTGGAGACCGGGTGGACTGGAACGGGGAAGGTGGAAGCCTTTAATACATTTTTAAGTTTTACCCGTTGCCGCCTTGGGTTATATGAATTTGGACCAGGAGTGTCCTCAGCGAGTTGAGACTTCAGACACCGAGTTCGGATCTGCTTACCACAGCACGGCGTCCACGGTCCACCCACAAGACATTAATTAATTTCATCTGCATGAAGGAACGCGGGTGTAGGTTGATGAGGAGGGTGTTGAACTGTTGTGGTGGTCAGAAAATGAGACTGGAACTCAGGGAGGCCTCAGCCCATCCACTCGAGTCTCCATGGGCCATGGGCCATGGGCCGTGCAACCCCTGGTTGGATGTGTAAGTAAAAGTAATCCTCCTCCTATCACCTGGGATTGGGAAGCCCCTTATCCTCCCTCAGAAGTCAGAAACTGCCAAAACAAGGGACAATCTTCCCCTCCGTCTCAGCTGAGACTATAAATCCTTTGTTGTTCGTTCAATCCAGTTGCTTCAACCTTGGTAAGAGTGCAAATTTGGTTCACTTTTGGAATTCGTATTAGAAATTTAGAATGAAGGTTTTAGCAGTTTAGCTGTACAATCGGCTGCGAAAGCCGGAAGTGGCATATACATCCAACCGTGCATTCAGAACATCTCCGAGATATGTTCTTAATATGTACACGTGGGGATGGGTCCCACCCTCATGAATTGTGCGCAGTCCAGTCCTGGAAGCTTTCATTTCTGAGGGAGGTATAAGCTGAGGGAATAAACATTTGAGGAGGGTGTTATCTGCTTACAAAGTCTCTGTACCTGCGTATGGCCCAACAACTAACTCAACCACTCTAACAAGTCATGAAATGGGTGGGCCTTTTGACAAAAACAAGGGGGTGGGGTGGGCCTTTTCGTTTCTATCAACATTTACACTATTTAGCACTCATTATACATTCTTTCAAGCATACTAACACAAAATAGTTTCATTGGGCTCGGCTGTTGAAAATTGAAACCACAGGAGTGATGTCTCCAATGTACGCCAGACTGAAACTCAAGTGTCAAAAACGTTGAAGAATTAAGCAGCTTGATTAAGCGATAAACGTTGGGTACCTGATGCTGTTTTCATGTTCATCCAAACGCTCGTCTGAAAAGATTTCGTTAGTAAGATATCAGAGGCCAGCGGCACAATGATTCATGAATTTGCTAATTCTATTGGCCAAACCGGAAGCACTAAAACAATCTAGCTATCTCCAATTACGCTTAATTGTGTTCCTCCAGCCTCCAACTGTTTTCCATCATTAGTCCGACCTCTAATCTCAATAGAGTTAGTTTCCACTCCCATCAAATTTACATCATCCTCTGTAATCAGATGTTCATTACCCTTTTTTTTTTTCAAGAGCGACTGGTTTTAGCGAATTCTTTTTCTAATCCCAAAATTCGTCCAATTTGCCATTTCTAATGGTAACAGGGTGGGTTAGATAGAAAAATACCCATTTTTCCCTATTCTCGATCATTAGAGTTTCAGTTTTTTTCTTTCTTCTGTTTTTTTTTTTTTTTTTTTCTTTTCAAATTCCATCCCAAACCTAATCAATGATAAAAAAACCCACCCCGAACTGAAATGGATCTGGTCGGAGCCTCAACCTCTAACCATTTAACATAAAGGCTGTCGCAGGAGTCAGTTTAGCGAAAAGACTAAAACCAAGATAAACTTTCTCTTTGCGAGTTTACCGTGTATGACTAATCTATTGACTACAAAATGCTGATTAGATCTTATGTAAAACAGTAAATTAT